TCAACCATTCAATACTTATCGTAACCGAAAAATAAGAAAATCAAGTGTACTGTAGGTTAATGCCGAGAAGGTTTGTTTTGTTTGTAATCAGGCCCAAGAAGAAAAAGACAATAATGAAACCCAAATATTGAACCGAATTGTTTTGTAGTGAAGTAGCATCGGAATCGTTTCCCATATCCGAGATAGAGAGTGAAGTGATCAGAGGAGAATAGTCAGCTCAGGAGTGTCTAGCCATCTTTGCATCATGGCCGATCGAAGTTGAGGGTTTGGTTCTCTGTAAGTGAAGATCCGGTTCCGAATGGTGGAGTCACTTATCTGGAGGATGGAGTCGGCCGATCGAAACGTATTACGGTGAAGCCTATGATTACTTTCACTCCAGAAGTTGTAAATGGTTGTCTGCCAAGCAAGAAGCGAGAGTCTCGTGTTGGTCCCCTGAGTAATTGCATGGTATTGATTGTCGATCCCCAGTCACGATGTGATCGGGAAGCGACACGGCTCCAAACTGTCCAGCTGAATCTGCATTCAAATAATAGGTGATCTCTAGTTTCTGGAAGGTCAGAGCATAACAGGCACATAGGATCCGTCTGAAGACCCCAACCTAGTATCCTGTCTTTAGTGGGGCATTGGTTTAGGACAAATAACCAACAAAGGAAGCTTTGCCGAGGGATTCCTCCTTTGATCCAAACTGCTCTACTCCAGTTTACCAAAGGTAAATGATGTAGTAGTTGATTATACACCGTGCCAGTATTGAATCGAATATCAATTCTCCCATCAATCTCCCATTCGTAGTAATCATTTTGGTCAGTCATGTAGTAGTTAATTACTATGTTTGAACCTTTACATAATAAGATATAGGTGTCAATTTGGAAATTATATATTTTTTTCCTTTTTAGTTTATAATAATAAGACAATTTCCTTAGAAGAGAGATACACACAATCGACTGAGTCAGAGCAATAGCACAAGTTTTCAGAATATTGGATTCACGTTTCTTGTTCTTAATTTACCATGGATCCAATAGAGAAGAAAACAAAGCATAGCATATCAAAAATCGCAAAGATCGGTGTGGAAGAAGCGATGAAGAATCAGAACGACGTCTCTATGTTCCTTGCGGAGAAAGTAATCTCTTCGGAAGCAAAAGACACTAATTTTGTCTTCTCTCCTGCATCAATCAACGTTGTTCTCACCATCCTCGCTGCTACCTCCGAAGACGAAACCCAAAGATCCTACATCATCTCCGTCCTTAGGTCTTGCTCAATCGATGAGCTTAAGGCTGTTTCCCGCGAGATCGCCTCTTTGGTTCTCGCGGATGGCAGCGAGAACGGTGGTCCTAAGATCTCCGCGGTTAATGGAGTGTGGATGGAGCAAACGCTATTTGTTAAACCCTCGTTGAAGGATCTCTTTGAGGATTTCTTCAAGGCTACTTTCGCTCAAGTTGATTTCCGATCCAAGGTTAGTATCTAATTTCAACCTTTCTGCATCTATCTTTTCGGTTTTCAAGTTGATTGGATATAATTTTGTTTGAAACTGTAGAAACATAGTGCTTAGAGACATTATACCTCAATCAACAGGTTGCCATGATGTATCTTTTTGATTTTTAAAGTTGTTTTGATTAGATTAGGTTTAGACTTTGTGTGAAACCCTAGAACATAGTGCTTAGAATCCAAACCTTGAGTGATACGAAATACGAATGGAAATACAAATAAACTTGTTGACCTAACTCTGATCATAGAAGAAGATACATGTATATGGCTTGCTTTGAAAACTCCAACTCTGTTTACAAATTTGAAGAAAACTAATCCATATAATTTTGAAACACAGGCTGAACAAGTGCGCGAGGAGGTGAATGCATGGGGTTTAAAGCACACCAATGGTCTCATCAAAGATATTCTTCCTCCTGGATCCGTTACAAGCGATACCGACCAGATATATGGAAACGCATTGTACTTCAAGGGAGCTTGGGAAGACACATTCGATAAGTCTTGGACAGAAGACGACGAGTTTCACCTTCTCAATGGCGGATCAGTTTCTGCGCCGTTCATGAGTAGTTATAAGAAGCAATACGTAGCGGAATTCGACGATTTCAAGGTCCTTAAGCTCCATTTCGACAAAGCGGTGATATCAATCGCCAATTCTCAATGTATTTCTACCTCCCAGATGCGAAAGATGGATTGGATAATCTTGTGAAAAGAATGGCGTCTAGTCCTGGATTCTTGGATAGTCACATTCCAAGAAGCAAAGTTGGAGTTGGTAAAGTTAGAATCCCAAAGTTTAAGATCAAATTCGGGTTTGAAGCTTCGAAGGTTTTCGATAAATCAGAGATCAAAGATACATTGTACCATAAGGCTTGTGTTGAGATCGACGAAGATGGTGTAGAAGCTGCTGCTGTCACTGTTTTAATGCATTGTGGTACTATCTTCGTCCCGAAGACGATAGATTTTGTGGCGGATCATCCATTTCTTTTCTTGATTAGAGAAGACAAAACCGGAACCGTTTTGTTCGTTGGTCAATTTTTTTATCCTTCTTCTGTTTAGGACCGTATTTGATCGGACTATGGTTTGGTTTTTTATTTATTTTAGATTTGGATATCCCGGGATTGGTTTGTGATTGGTAATTTAGATCTTGCATTACAAAGAATGTTGAAAAGATGACATTGTGATTTTATTTTTTGAACTTAGTGTTGTTTTTAGAATTTTCAATAAGATGTAGTTATTTTTGTTGACGTTTTGAAATGTGAATAATTGGTTTTATATCCATTCATTTAATTACTATTTTAAAAATGTAAATTCGGATTTCGGACTCAAATTACTCATTTGTGACTAGAACTTGAGATTCAAGGAAACAAACAAGTGAAACAATCAATATATCAAACTAGAATGTGACTCGCGCGATCCGCAATTTTTTGTTTGAAAATTTTATTAGATTTAGAGACAAACAATTTGATTATCTATTAAGTTATTATTTATGTTGGACAAAAACAACCAATTCTTTATAAGTGCAAAATAATAATTGACTTAAAATATAATTAGTTATTTTTCTTACCTATATTGTATGAACGTGAAACTATGAAGTAATTCTCAACCATTTTGATATTGATGGTTATTATTTGAGAATAAATATGTTTGTTTAAAACTTTGTTAGATACGTAGATTTTCTTAAATTATGTTACCTAAATAACTGATTAATTTTTTTATAATAAGATAATTATACATTGTCATTAAATATTTAATTACTACCATTAAATATATATAAATTTAAATTTATTTTGATTTTTAAAATGAAACACATGTCAAATGAGTAGTTGCAACACGGCAACCTCTTATATATTTGATTTTGAAGAACCTTAAAATATTATATAAGATTAAAAATCTAAGATTTTAAAGTTCTTTCTCTAAACTTAATAACAAATTAGTGTAATTAAAACTGTTGTGAATTGAATTTTTTTTTATTTTTATTATTCCTTCCATACTGTTATCATGATGAAAAAACATAATTCACTTCACCAATGAATCGATATG